AATTAGGCAGATTAAACCAAACAGAAAGACATTTAGGTGGATATTTTAGTATTCCGGCTCAACGAACCGATAATGGTGATCGTCTGTTGCTATGGTGCTCAGACAATTGTTTGTTTTTAGAAAACGCTGATTTTAAGCATAAGGAGAGACATCGTCTAACATGGCGACCACCTGCACCAAACCAACGATGGACTCAAATAGACCAAATTGCTATCAGTCATCGTTGAATAGGCTCGGTGGAAGACTGTCGCTTGTACTGGAATACATGTTTAGACGCTGATCGTGTTTTAATACGAGCACGCTTCTGTTTGAACCTCACTGGACGCAAAAATCCGCATTAAGAACACCCATCATGATTAAATTGAGTGACGAGAAAGCCAAAAGTAGATTTCAGGAACAACTGAGTTCACATCTAGGCAGTTCTGTAAACGAGGCTGACCCAGATGTCGTTTGGAAAGATATACAAACAGCTGTGGAAACAGTAGTAACATCCATTAGTAATTTAAACAAAAGGGTTCCAAAAAACCAATGGATTTCTTCGAAGTTTATAGCACTGATGGGTTCTCGTAAACTCATCCCACCAGGCTCTGAACACGACGAAGAGCGTAAACAAATTAGATCTGGGTTAACTAAAAGTCTAAGGAACGATCGTGAGCAGTGGTGGGCAACGAAAGCAGAAGAAACTGAAAAGACAGCTACCGTAGTTAACAAAGTATAACTCTTCATACTTATAAAATAAAGCGGAATTAAGAATTCAAGTGCAAGCGAGACAATCTCCGAAAAAGTTTTATGTTAGTCAAAGTCACATGATGGAATGCCTCAAATTAGGTTTAAGAGTTTAACCCCAAATACATAAGAAGATAATGCAAATTTGGAACGTCGAATTGCTTATAACATTGCGACGTAAGGACCCTACATTATTTCGTGGGGGATGAGAGTTTTGGAAAGTCTATGTTGCAAATTCTAGATCTCAGTGGTTTTACTACACAACCGACAATTGTACACAATTCGAGGACTCAAATGAATCTGTCCCGATTTCGTTTGTCAATTCTAATAATAACGAGTACATTCTAGATAATACAGGGTCTTTATCAAATACACTGTCGACAGAGGCAAGATGAACCTAAGGAGAAGACGTGCGATCTATTACAGACACCTAGACTCCAATTTAATCTGTAGCGGATATGGTGTTTATATGAACCAATGATTCCTTTGTACTTGATGACTGCTTGATTTCGAGTTCCAAATACAATACATTCATTCGTGTTCACCTAGTACTTCTTGATTAAATTGCGTTGTTTCTGGGATTCCTAGTTTAAACTATAATTCAAATACTCCTAATTATCACACTAACCTAAAGCCAGTCAACCCTGCTAACTAAAGAGAAAAGACCATAAATTTGCTCGAGGGGAAAGTACATTCCTCGAGCAGCCGGAAGCACAGAAAACAAGCACACAACACATGCGTATATGTACAATACAAAAATGTCCTTTTGAAGCGACGTTAATCGGCGTATTAAAACGAGAAACGAACCAATGACAGTTAAGGTCCTTCCACGTGGCAAATACAATCTGAAAGTAAATACGGGCGCTTTTAGAGCTGAAATCAGATATTCAAAATAAGGAAATACTACGTTCACCAAGTGGTTCCTGTTGATCTGGCATCTCTGAAAACACTACAAAAACAAACCCAACCCTTTTTGGCGATTCCGGCAGTCTACTTAGAGACCAATCAGAATAAAGAGGGAATTGTCACTTATGTCGTTTTTGTAAGTAACGGCAATTGGCTTGCTTCTTTCTTCGTTTTTCTCGATGTCGCTGCATAACTTGATTCTTTAGTGTGCAGGAATACCACAATCTATTTGATACTTTAGGTTTTGGAGCTAACGTCTTTGAGTCGTTTTCATTTTCTGGATTTCCGCCCCTGCTACTCAGGTCACTGTTATTCTCACGTACTTTATGTGATGAATCGTCAAGCTGTTTCGTTTTGAGTTTAATTGTGGATATCAGGAACCAGAATAAGCGTCTTTTAATAGCTAAAATCAGCTTTGCCGCCTCTTGGGATTTTTTAACTGTCCGCATGTTGGTAATGTATACATAGACACAGGCCTTTAAATTCTTCACGAAAAGAACAAAATGTGTACAGCATTACTGTCAAATGTCACTTAATAAATGTGAACTAAATGCTAAAAAATACATATCTCACAGATTACTTACGACGGTGAACTTGATAAATCAATGTAATAGGATAATAATGTCTTTCAATTGGTAGGTCAAATGCAACATGGATAGTTTACAGACACATCAGACCAGATTGACGTGGTGAGAGCTTTAGCAACGATTTGATTGGTTAGTTATGGACATGACTAACAGTCCCAATAAGTACAGAGCTAACACAAAAATTACCCACACATAGGTCGTGTGTGACCGACATCAAACAGTTGTCCCTTCGGCACTGCGGTCACGCTCTCAGGTCATTAAGACCACTTATAATCCAATTTCCTTTTCAGGTATCTCTAGAAGAACCCTTCCACGGTGTGAGCAACCGGGAACTGATAAATGCCCTCATGCTTCTAACAGCACTCAAAATAAGTGTATTCATAATCGATCTCCTTCTTCAATTCCTATTATTCCTCTCACCTCGACTTTAAACACTAAACTTCCTCTTTCGGTTTCCACCTCAAGTATCATCATGGCTAGCGATTCTAGTGCGCAAAACACTTTCTCAGGTCTACTGAAACCTCGCCCCAAAACTGAACATTGGAGCCTTCAACGTACGTACTCTATATCAAATCGGCCAACAGGCCTCCTTGGCTAAGACCCTGGGATCTCGTGCCATTGATGTATGCTGTGTCTCCGAAACACGCATACAGGATCATAGTGTGGTCATTCACCTACACACATCTAACGCTATTCATCAATTATTACACCATACTATTCTAATTATCAACTCTCATAAGGTCATCGGAATTTACGTCGTACTAAATTAATTTGAATTAATATGATAATAAACTATTCATTTACATCATGTTTAACGGAAATGTAGAATGTTTAAATCGTCAAATTAAAGATGCTCTCATTAATCTGCTGACTAACAATCATAGGGTTGTAATACTCCATATGGTCGTGCCACAAATCAAATAGACAATAAAGATAATTATTGATGTCGCATAACAGAATCGGCCGACAAAATCAATCTACGATTACTTTAAGAGTCTTCGACTTTAGTCACCAGTGTTCTGAATGATTTAATTAACTATGTGCAATTTATCAAACAACACTTGAGCACAATGAAGATACCACTTCCTAAATAAAAAACAACGACCAATACACACTCTTCACCAACTAAATTATTGAACAAACAATTTCGTCAGAAAAACACTATCCAGTGATGATTGCAAACGTGACAAGAAAGGCACTACCTGAGTAGACAAAATAAAAGCCAGTTGATGTCGACACACGAAACAGATTTCCAACTAAAATGTCTATTCGCAAGTTGTATCACAGCATATGATGTCTAAAATATCTACCAAAACACTCAACAATGTAACATAGTCAAGTAGATCTGTCCATCTGCTGAAACAGTATCTACAGTCAGTTATATCTCCTTAATCAAATTTCTTCATTGATTAACCATGTGTGTGTGTCAATTTCTTGTCACCTCAGTACACGCCATTATTTCACTTATTATCCAATTATACTTATATCCATTCCACGTGCATACATGGATGTGCACTTTAGATACTTCACAAATTACCATCATGATTTTGCCTTTTAGACACTAAACAATCCTTTAGAAATTTTAGCTATTCATCATACATTATTCTGTGTTAGATTTTTCGTCAAATCTCATGAGGATATAAACATTTACGTCATACTGAGGTAGTCAGATTCCATTTGCCGATAAACTACTTGTTTACTAACATACATATCTGGTCTAGATTATTTTTTAACAGATTACCATAAAGATGCTTTAAACCAATAACTTTTAATTTTTATGAGTATGAGGTTGTGGAGATTGTTAGGTTTCCGATTGCGATTATGAATAGATTAATATTAGGCCTGAAAACTCTGGGTGGCCGTTTCGTCCTAGTATTGGACTCTTCAGCAATATGTATCCATGATCCCGCATGTGGGACTCGAACTCAAGACATTCAGTCTCGCACTCAAACGCTTAATGTCTACACCTCTAAGCCGGCATCCAACGGTGCTCATGTCTAATTTCAATCAATCCATGATCTTGCACAACCATCCATCCATTGTCTGAAGTAGATATCTGTCTCTACCCGACACGGTTTGGAATCCATTGATCATGGCTTATCACTAGAACTCCAGGAAATCATCTTAAACCCTGTCATCTGTGAGCACATTTATTTATTCAAACAACCCTTATGTATTTGTGTATTGTATTCTAAACTAATGCACATTATACCGTGGTTGGATCTATATGTTTGCATTTCTTGTATTGTTATTACGTTCACTTTCCAGTAAATGCATTACTTGAAGTCTATTTATATGTGTTTGTGTATTTCATAATCACACTTGTTTGCTTAAAGCTAATTGATTGTCCTAACAAAATGCACTTATAATACAGTTATTTTCCTCGCTTGAAGTTCTTCACAATCCCTCTCATAACATATCACAACATTAGCAACAACAAACCTTATTCGTTATCATGATTTCATTTCCATAAACAAAATAATTTGACTATGATGATGAGATGCAGTCTGATGTAATTTGTCTATTCCTTTAAGATAGTTCATTATCTCATTTGTATTATTCCATGAATCCTTTGTAGATTCACTCTTATAGCACTCATATTCAATATCATCTAATCACATGTAGGTTTACAGTCCTTGACCACCTTCAAACTACAATTCAATAAATAAGAGATTTGTAAAAGAAAATTTCCCACATTTATTATTCATAAGAAAAAATGTTTAAATTTAAATTTATAATGACTTAATCATCAGAAGTTTCTTTTGTTTGTATTTCTGTATTTTATCCAGGAAAAACCAACTTCTTCAGATTGTCCATATTCAAGAAGCATCCATTTAAAAATTGTAAGAAGTGAGCTCTGAAAATGATAATAATATGATTGGATGATATTTATTTAAATTTATGTCATTTAAGAAAAATCTCATCTCTATATCAGTCAATCAACACAATGAAATCAACAGTGGTTACATTTTAAGCAAAGATGGATATTGGTTAGCAATGGAATCCAGGATACATATTTCGTCCTATTTGGGACTTGTCAGCTAGATGTTCTTGCATCTCAGAGTTGATGTTCACTCTGGGACTCGAACACAGTATCGTTTGCTTCAAACGCCATCGCGTTATCCACTTAGCTACTGTGTCCGAATACTAAATGAATTTAAACTTCACCCCATTGCACAAGTAAGTGGCTATCAGGACTCAGTAGCTGAGTGGATAAGGCGATAGCGTTTAAAGCGAAAACTACTGGGTTCGAGTCCCAGAGCGAACATCAACTCTGAGATGCAGGCACATCCAGCTGACGCGTCCTAAATAATACGAAAAGCGCGTCCTGTATTTCACTACCAGCCACTATCCATCTTTACATATATAGGTTTGTTTATAAACAGTGAGGAAGTTATGGATAGGAGGAAAACCATGACACGGTATCAGTGATTTGGTGTTATATCTGTGGCCGAGTGGATTATTAGTTGATGGGTGAGGTGATGAGACCGTCAATTAGAGAGCAGCGAATTATCGACTGGAGCAGTGACTCGAAACCCGAACGAGCAGACTATAGTGCTAACCGATCCTGCGATCTGCCTAACCCAGCCAGTTGAGTCCAGAACACAAATAAGAGCCTCGGTAATATGAATCATTATTCACAAGCATACTGGGTTTATATACTAACCAAACAGACCCCATATACCAAAAAATAGAAAAATAATATTTGTACAATAATTGGCCAATGTGGCTGTGGAGAGGGGGAAAGTAATCAATAATAATAGTTCAAAGGTCAAAATAAGGTTATGGTAAGAGGAACACGAATACAATTAGGTCAGTTATTTAACAACTATACAATAGGAATTAGGCATATTACCTTTGTCCATAATAGACCTCAGATTTACCATTCATCATTCACCAGGGGATATAACATTTGGATCACTGACTGAAGGACTACTAAGGCATGGGGCGAATCACAGTCCAATTGGTTTGATTCTAAAAGTTAATTGTGACCAATGGTTGGAAACACTGGTTGACATGACCCAAATAGGACGAAACGCGCATCCTGGATTCCACTGCAAGCCACTATCTATATTTGCTTATAAATAGGATTATTCTTATAATTCAAAATTGAGATCTACTATCACCTTGTGTAAAGTGTTACAGTTGTTAGAGAAACCTCAGAATGCTATCTGAATTAATAAATACGCTACAATTTAATGAATCAATTAAATCATTCTAACTAATTCAGGACATTCTTTATAGTATGATTTCTTGTTGTTATTGCGGTATGTACACCTAGAAAAGGTTTATGTCAATTGTCAGTTAGTACAAATCGTCAGAAGTTTTTCTTTAAACTTAAGTAAAATCTAATATACTAAAACTAAACTTTATTTGCCGGGAAATGTAACTCGATATCTATGTATCAGTGGTACATCAAATTTCTACAGAAGTTCCATCATAATTATTTATTTTATTTATTTAAACACATAAATATTGGTACAACGGGGCACCAGATATATATGCTACACATAAATCTCATTTGACTTGTGTGAGGGCTATGATACTGCCCAGGTGCCCAAACTGAAGCAGGTGGTTTTCTTAGGGAGCCACACCCGGAGTTTTTGACCTAAAGATCTGATCCACAAGCCAGTGGGTCCTATCATAAACATCGATATAACTCATTAACTTTGTTTTACAATCTGTTATTTAATTATGACATTTACAGTGTATGTATTTGTATGTGGAACAGTAAGGTGTGCCACCAATGTCTAAAGATATAAGTAGTATGTATCACCAGAGGGAGTTGGAATGCCTCGTTGCAGAAGGTTAAGAAAATCAAAGAAAAAAGAGAACGGGAACAAAGAGCAATTGGTATGGAAACGAAAGAACAACAAAATCTGAGACTTTTGATGGATATTTCGCAAATGAATTCTTACTGTATGGTTCTTAGATTTTATCAAGATATTAGTTAATGTTATGTTATGATACATTTGGTTGTCCCAATTTGTGTTCTCATTCACTACAGAACTACAGATATATCTCATGAAAGTCCCCGATGAAAATTAAGGCATCAACAGATTTCAAATGAATCGTATAGTGAAGATGAACAAATTTTGATATTTAAAGTCAGGAAAACAAATCAATCAATGTTTAACTAACTTACCCAGCAGCCGCCGCCAATCTGATATAGGAAAAATATGAATAATTAAAATAATTTATCGAATCTTGTTATGATACTACAGATATGGTTCTTTAAACGATTTAGCTGATTTAATAATTATAATATGCCTTAATTATGGTCCCATAATGGGACAAAACGGTCGTCCAGTTCTTCCAGGTTTTCCATGGTGGTCTAGCTTCAATTGACTCATGATTTCAACTATAAATTATTTTAGCCGAAATCATAAGTTCATTTGACTAGAATTAAGTGGATATGTAGCAACTTCAATAACACAACCTTCATTGTGACAAAGGGTGTTCTCTTAAGCTTATTGGGTTGTTATCACTAAATTGTACTCGATTCTACATCGTTATTCCATAATCACTTTATCTGATGTTGAATAATGCTGTTCTAAGCTGATTCTGAACATCTCAATCTAAGTATCCATTTTACTTTTCAGAAATCATTGACTTCTGTTCTCAAGGTCTAAGATTCCAAAACTTCATATAACTTATAAAAGAATATATATTTTGACAAACTACTTCCATTACAAATATAACCATAGACTGATCACAAGTACTCGAAAGTATTAACAGAAGATCTTTCGCTATCCAATACTGTTTGAACATTCAATTGACATCGATAATTCTCATTAGAATAGAAACTTTCCTAGTCTAATTCATTATTCTTCTGAGTGATTGAGTTTAGTTGATTAATGGGAAATTCAAACAGGAGTCTTAGAATGATTATTACACTTCAGAAAACTCTTAACGCAGCTCTTTAACGATAGCTACCTCATTCGCCTGAACTATATAACCCATCCCACTATTCTAATCAATATTACATCTTACATTTGACCATCAATTGCACTTGTTAATCAAGTGTGCATGTATGTTGAAGAAATCGTTTTGAAAACATGGTCTGTAAATGTCTTACTAACTTTGAAAACAGAGTTTTACTTATTGTCCTCGTTCCTTAAAGAAACTCAGCTTCAATGCTACATTATCATTTTCTTTCCGAATGACTATCACAAATCATTTTCATACTGAACAAAATTAAAATTTTTTGTATGATTTTTCCTTCCTCAAAAGTTGAGAGAATATTTAGTTTCAAAAAATTCGCTAATAAATGAATTGAGTAGGTACAGTTCACGAACATTAATCAGTCAAGGAAGATGGTGGTTGGACGTAGTCAACAGGAAACCTTGGACGTAGGTTTCATACTACTTGGCACTCGTCAGTTGGGTGTACTTGTAATAATGAGGGGACTGATGCTCCCTGACAGATTCGACACCATGTCACCCACTATCATAGTCAGGAACGTTACCACTCAACTATCCGGGCCGCAACTGACCTCCTGTAGGACTAAGATGTATTTACAATTGACTGATCACTGGGTGGTATGTCAGGTCCTTATTAGTGCAAACCGAATCCTATCGATGAAGATTACAAGTACATCTTGCTGACGAGTGCCAAGTAGCACGAAACCTAGCTCCAGGATTTCCTGTTGACTACCTCCAACCACCACCTTATCTGAACATAGTGCACGCAATGTCGAGTCACCTGGATTGGTAGACACATTGCAACTTGATCGATAGGATTCGATCTCTACTAAGAAGGACTTGACATACATAACATTGATCGCCATCCAGTGATCAATCAAGTGTAACTAAACAGTTAAGTGTTTCATCAAATAAATACTCCCAATGAAATTCGTGTATTTTCAAGTGGTTGTTGTCACATCTACTAAACTTAACTAGCTTTTCTGAATTTTTTCAGTAATTTGGACCTAGTTTTATACAAACTGACAATAATGTTTCACACTCTCAAAATCGATCTTATCACCATTAACCTCTCCAAATCGACCATCTGAAACGATTGTTCAAGTAACTGGTTGCGTTTTTTTTATTTGAAAAACGTGGTGAGGAGGATAAGATGAGGTGAGTGTGAGTTCGAAAACTCCACCAAGTTTTGTTTGAAAATGGACATTTCAGATCACAAATAATCATCTATCCATCACCGAAGATGAAAAAACAGCAGATTTACGACACATACTACTGAATTACATCATTTAATTAGACTACAAATGCTGAGTGGACTTGTCATTTAAACGATCTACCCTACCTACATCTGAATGTTTGTTCACTAAATAGTGACTAGGTCTATCTATGTCGGTCAAGATTTGCAACTTCTGGAAAGATTCATGTAAGCAACTTCGAAAAATACCTAAATTCGAAATGGGTATCTATAACATTTATGACACACTTTAAATATATGAAAGGACCCTATTTTCAAGTTAAAATTACTGGTTCAATACACAATGACTTACGGAGCAAGGAAAAATTGTGATCTGAAATAGATATATTCATATATAACGTCTTAGCAAACCTATCTGAAATATCATTATACATTGTACTAGTAAGAGGTAATGATTTAAGATCAATTATAATCTAATCAGAAGGGGTTTTGTGGAGATTTCAGTATTACCATAATTGAAACCATGAGTCAATTGAAGCTAGACCACCATGGAAAACCTGAAAGCAATGGATGGCTGTTTCGTCCTACTCTGAGACTCCTCAGCAGTGCACATCCACGATCCCGCCTAGAGAGATTTGAACCCAGAACCTACCAGTATCGCGCCAGTGCTTCCAGGTTTTTCATGGTGGTCTAGCTTCAATGGACTCTTGATTTCAATTATGGATATAATCTAATCCCCAAGCCTGAATATACACTATAGACCTTTAGTGTAATTCTTTGTCAGACAAATCTTTCGAATCGTATTGTTAGAAATCTACACTGATGTTTAAGTAGTACTTGTTATTAATTATGAATTCTAAGACAGAGATTATAAGTAAGTTTCAAATCATATAAAAGACATCACTTATGGCATAGTCTAAACCCTTATTAATAATGATATAAGTATCATATCTATTGTTTTATTTATTTTATAAATATTGGTACAAACGGACACCAGATACATATGAGCCGCACAAATCTCATTTGATTTGTGTGAGGGCTGTGATACTGCCCAGATACCCAAACTGAAGCAGGTGGTTTTCTTAGGGGACCACCCGGAGCCTTTGACCTAGAGGTATGATCCACAAGGCAGTGGAGCATCGTGAGGAGATGCAGTCCCATGGTAGTCGGTGACCGACAATTGATTCATACGCCATTTGTTGCCGCAGGATACTGAAGCCCATGTTCACTATTGGTTTGGAATGAGGGTTATCCGAGTCCCCTAGGTGGATCCCCCTTATCCACCATCCCGGTTAAAGCGCCGGAGATTCGCTTTTCATCTTCTCAATTTCGTAAACAATACTCCTGCCGCGAGAGTGAGTAGGAATTCCCTGACCATGTAAGTGCATTTGGAGAGGGAGAGCTGACTCTCCCTATTCTCGGTCGCATCTACCTGAAATCGGTCCATAAAGTAAACAATGAAACTATCAGGATAGATATGGATATAGATATCAAAATTGCACATTACGCAACATAAAATTGTCTACTCTTCTCATCTATCGCTAAACTACATTTATACAAATACCTGTTCGATAGTAACCAATAGCAATGTGTATAGTCTTATCATTGAATATATTGATTTAATCCTTTGCATTTTAGGAATTCCCGAAAAAGTTATTTTTGAAATTTAGGAAATGAATAAACAACTCACTCTTCATGATTTTGTCTAAAAAAATTGATGTAAACAATAATCAGGGTATTTATAAAGTGTTTAAATTGGAAAGCTGATGACTGATTAATATATTACTTGGGTTCGAATACCGCGAGCAGGATCGTGGATTTGCACTATTGAGGAGTCCCATGCTAGGACGAAACGGTCGTCCAGTGCTTCCAGGTTTAATTGACTCATGAATTTAATTATTAAATTACTATAATATCCACAAAACCCCCTTCTGATAATATTAGGTTTTGTTGAGATTCCTTGGCATGAAGTGAAATTGGTACTGGATTAAGAATTTTTTTTGAGGCTAAAGGGATGATTGATGAGTGGCAATGAAATATGATTGACGCTGAGTGTGGACAGACAGGCACTTGATTTACTGAATATTAAATAAATGATTTCCCTTCCTCTTATTGATTTCTACTCCTGACTCATTGATAATGATTGGTTGTAATTGTGTGAAATAAAATATTATAATCAGAAAGGGGGGGGGATTGTGGGGTTTGTATTAATTTTAATAATTGAATTCATGAGTCAATCTAAACTAAACGATCATTAAAAACCAGGAAACAGTGGACGGTAGTTTCGTCATGGCATGGGACACTTCAGCAGTATGTGTCTATAATTCCGCAGGTGGGATTCGAACTATTACTTCCTAATTGAAGATTACTTAGTAACATTGTGTTCACCATATGCTTAATATGAAATCTAGGAACTTCATGTTATTTCAAAAGATCAATATTCGCTTAGTTATAGATTAATAACAATCGGATATTGACTTACCCTTCAGTACTGCTTTCATGTACAACTGACAAAGATTATAGAACATCAATGTAAAATGATTTACAATAGAGATTTATATATTTTGTAAATGAATTAACTTATGAAGAAAGATGAATTTATAAAGTCTATATGAAGTATAAATAATAAAGTTTTATCAGCAGGGGTTTTTCGTGGAGATTCTAATGATTTTATAGTTGAAATCGTGAGTCAATTGAAGGTAGACCACCATGGAAAACCCCTTCTGATATAATTGAACATATGCTCACTAGTGACTGGCTTTAAGATGTATTTCCTGGAGTTTTAGTGAGAAGCAGCGAATAGTGGAGTTCAATCAGGTCTGTTGTGAGATAATAACTCATTGAAGACAATGGTGGACAGTTGCTCAATTTCGTGGATTGGTTGAAGTTAGACATTAATACCGTTGGATGCCGGCCAACTCAGTGGTCTAGAGGTTAAGCATTCGCGTGCAAGACCGATAGGTTTTGGGTTCGAACCTCCCGAGGTAGGGCCATGGATGCGCACTGTTGAGGAATCTTACAATAGGACGAAACAGCCGTCCAATGCTTCCAGGTTTTCTATGGTGGTCGAGCTTCAATTGACTCATGATCTCAACTATAAAATAAAGTTTTGAGCTATTTACTAGTGAATAGCCATTGCAGTAGTTAATTATGTTTAATGATTAAAACAATGATTAATATGTAATCTACTACATAGAAACCATAACAGTTAAACAACCGTTTGAAAATTTATTTCTTCATTTCTTTAGGTTCACTTGTCTTTTAATAAATATGATATAAAATAAGACACATACCCATAAACAATGTAAACACACATCATTAAATATTTGAAATAGTCTACACTTGTTGATGAAGCAGAGACGAAATCTTTTTAAACAGAAACCATAGAATCATTCTTCCTCAAGGTCATTGCGATGGAAAAAAACTTTCTATACTGTTGCATGAAATTGAATACATGTTCATGTTATACCCTTTTTCGTATCGTATGCAGCTATATTTTTAATAACTATTCTATGTATACAAGACAAGCCTTAACTTGGAATATAGAAGGGAAGCTGAAAAGAGGAAAGCCAAAGAACACATTACGTCGAGAAATAGAAGCAGATATGAAATGGAAAGGATTGCCCAAGACAGGGTTGAATGAAGAATACTGGTGGGCGGTTTATTCTCTTCCACGATGGGTAACAGGAGTAAGTAAGTAAGTTTGTGTATAATAGACTGGGAAAAATTCTTGAGAAAAAGTAATTGAAATATCAACTTACCGAAACCTGTAGAAAAAAATTTATTAATAAACGTTAGATATATATTGATAAACTAGGTAGCAGGATCATGACGACAAATAACTTAATGAATGAGTACTATCCTCTTTGTTGTTAATTGATTTAATGACTTAAGGTTCACTTACATTCAAGAGTCTTTTTAATGAGAACTATTGTTCAATGTTTCCTGAAATGATGTTAGCTAATGAAGAAAACTTAATTTAAACTTTTCATTTTTAAAGAAACTGAAGTCAAAATCCAGGATATATATAGGACTGTGATTTTGAATAGCAACATTCAATGGAATAAAGGTATATCCAACTTACTCTAATGTCTTAGTCATAAAAAGATGAGTATTAAATGAGCTTTAAAAGTCTATAGCACATCAACTATGGTAATGAATCGTAATCTTCCTTTTATACAATTTTTTCTGGTTAACGTTGTTTTAGCGAGTCGGTTTTTCTACAGGATAGGGTCACTAACTCCATGCTCAACCCTCCTCCTTTATCCGGGTTTCAGAACGACATTAGCCCCCAAAGGGGATAAAGGCGGAATAGACATCAATTTTTAAGATTCACTTACATCTAAATTATTTTGTTCATCTTTAAACATCTTGATGTGTGGGCAAAAATGATAATGATTGGTTATTTTGTTGAGTCAGACAATAGATAGGGTAACAGGTGTTATATGTGTTATATATCCCCCTATCCTTATTACTATTATTGTTGATTAACTGTTCTTTGTTGTTGGATTGTGTCGGATTTTGATATGGAAATATATTGACGTTCTAGTCAGGCTAATCTCGTCTTCTTGATCTGAGTTGTGTTGAAGTCCTGTAGAATAGACACTGAAGTGAGGGAATCTAGTGTAGATATTCATCTAAGGTAAATTAACATCCCACATACGTGTAAAAAGTTAAAGGAATGTTTTAACAAGAAACCCTAGCATTATAACAAATACCCTACCGTTTATAATACATCTTTAAATTGACAGCCCAAGAAAGAGTACATTGAAGAATACTAATCGGAGACTTATACATCATTGAGGGTAACAGGCGTAAGTAACTAAGTAAAGTAAGAAGTTAAGTTTACAATGAGTTTAATTGAAAACATAAATCTTTCATTAAAAAAACTAAACTAACCTGTAATGAATTGACAACTGATAATCATTAATAAAATTGTTCTAATCATAGAAACTGTTAACATTTTCATTTTTTTTAAATTTTTTTTTCTTCTTAGAGACTATTCAGGATGAACATAAAGTAATCAGTAATCTATTTATATATCTCTATCTTCATAAGTAAATAAAAATGGATTATTGATTGAATAAATAATCCTCCTTTTCTTCTTTTCTTTTCTTTTTTCTCATTTTTCTCTCTTTTTTTCTTTCTTTTTCTCTCTCTCCCCCTCTCTCTCTCTTGGTAAAACGAATCAAATTTCAATGAGATTTATTTGTTTATTTACTCTTCTTTTTTTCTTTTTTGTTTCTTAAAAAAAATGTAAATTTTAAAAGACAAAAATATTTATTTATTTATTTTGTTCTTAAAAAAAGGGTTGTCTTGTTTGTTCATGAAAGGTATTACATTTCATATATTTATATAGAAATGAATGTATCCTATATTAATAATAGTAATAATAGAACTTACGCCTTTTACCTCTCGTGGAGGAGCATCGGCCACTCATCAGTATTCTTTATTCAACACTGTCCTGGGTAATCCTTTCCAGTTCTTTCCTTTTATTGTTCATCCTTTTCATATATGCTTCTATTTCCCGACGTAATGTGTTCTTTGGCTTTCATCTTTTCAGCTTCCCTTCTGGATTCCAAGTTAAAGCTTGCCTTGTGATGTAGTTTAGTGATTTTCTTAATGTATGTCCTATCCACTTCCAACGTCTTTTACTAATTTCCTCTTCAGATGGAAACTGGTTTGTCCTCTCCCATAAAACTCTGTTGCTAATGGTATCCGACCAATGGATGTTGAGTATTTTGCGTAGACAACTGTTCATAAATACTTGTACCTTCTTGACGATGGATGTAGTAGTTCTCCACGTTTCTGCTCCGTACAGTAGGACTGACTGTCTTGACGTTCGTATTGAAGATTCTCACTTTGAAGTTAGTTGACAGTTGTTTGGAGTTCCACATGTTCTTCAATTGTTCTTCGCTTCTCGGCTCTCTGAGCTAAGATCATGTGTAGTATCTGTTCTTCAGTTATAGAGATGCTTCCCTTGCTTTGCCAATCCTCGCCTTTACATCTGCATCCGATCCTCTTTGTTTATCAATGATGCTTCCCAAGTATGTGAATGTTTCTACCTCTTCGAGAGCTTCTCCATCAAGTGTGACTGGGTTGGTGTTTTCCGTGTTGTGTTTGAGAATCTTGCTTTTTCCTTTATGTATGTTGAGGCCTATTGATGCAGGGGCTGTTGCTAAATTTTCTGTCTTCATCTGTATTTGTTCGTGTGTATGAGAGAGGAGGGATAGCTCATCTGTGAAGTTCAGATCGTCTAATTGATTCTGAGCTGTCAATTGTATTCCGTGCTTCCCCTCTGATGTTGAGGTCTTTATAATCCAGCCAATCACCAGAAGAAAGATGATAATAATAATAATATTCATACATTAATGTAGGTTTTTATGAATAGCAGTGATTGAAAACATTGAATCAAAGAGTATACCTTAGGAATTTAAGAAAAAACTTTCTGATAATAATTATCATGTGTTTATTAGTGACTGGCTTCAAGAGGTATTTCCTGGAGTTCTAATGAGAAGCCATGACCAGTGCAGCTCAACCATGTCTGTTTTGGAGGCAGTTACTCACTGAAGACAATAGTGAAGGGTGACTCAATTTCCTAGATTGGTTGAAGTTACACATTAACACGGTTAAATAATGTCTCATTGGTCTAGAGATTAAGCATTCGCTCAAGAAACCGAAGGTCTTGGGTTCGAATCCCTTTAGTGTGAGTGAGATCTTGGGTACGCACGGCTGAGGAGTCTCATACTAAGACGAAACGACCGTCTAATGTTTTTAGATTTACCATGATGATCTAACTTAAATTGACTCATCAATTCAACTAATGAGTTTTATATTGACAAAAATATTTATCTTTTCGCTCTTAAAGAAAAAGGTTGTTTATTTGTTAATGAAATGTATCAAATTTCTAATGCTTACGTAACAATGAATGTATCCTACACTAGTAATAATAATAATAATGTTCATACATAAGATAGGCATGGCTAGTTCCGTTTGGTTACAGGACTTGATGAAGTCGTTTGAAACAGTATCAAAATACTCATTAGTTATATTATTTACTTAATATAATAAGAATACAATGGTGGTATGTTATACATCCAAATTATATTTGACTTTAAATTCACTTGATATTGTTTGGTGGAATCTTCCCCCATTGATGTGTTGGGACTGCAATTGATCAGTCTCTTAGTGGTTATATGTGCATACTGTGCGTATTGCCTCAATATAGCCTTAATTCACAAGCATTATAAGCAAGGATGGATAGTGTCTAGCAGTGGGATTCAGGGCGCTTGTTTCGTCCTGTTTGGAACTCATCAGCTGGATGTACCTGCATATTTGACTTTTAAGAATCCAACTGTATTACAGTCAACAACTATAACTTAACTAATAGGGTAATGAATTATTAATGATTGATTTCAATCAAATTTTTCTTCATTTCGGTATAGTTATGATAATCAGAATTGGTTTTTTGTAAAGATTTAGTATTTGCCTAGTTGAAAGCATGAGTCAAATAAAGCTAGACCACTAAGGAAAACCTGAAAACACTGAACGGCCGTTTTGTCTTATTGTGGGTCTATCGGTTAAGTGCTCTTGCGCGAGACTGGTAGGTCCTGGGTTCAAATCTCGTGAGGCGAGGTCGCGGATGCGCACTGCTGAGGAGTCCCACAATAGGACGAAACGGCCATCCAATGTTTCTAGGTTTTCCATGGTTGTGTAGCTTCAATTGACTCATGATTTCAACTATGAAAATAGTTATGATAGTAGGTTCCGATGGAGAAAATTAATTTCATCAATCGAATCTGATTAAGTGTCTTTTTATAACTTCACTACTAAGTCGTTAATATTGGCTATTAAAACATTGTTTAGTCTTAGGTAATACATTTTTCTGACTCAGCATTTTCCCATTAGAGTCATTAAATCAAATGAATTTTTAATTGGTGTTCAGTGGTTGTAAGTTGTTTTCAGGCAATTCCAAAGTTGGAGAAGAGAGAGACGCGATACCGAATAACGCATACAAAACTCGTAATTCGAATATTATTATCCCACCAGATTGGGTGCTTAAGGGTCGAATAGAGTGGAAGAATTCCTTTAAGGATTTAAAAAGTGGGAAGCTAAATGGCGGAACGAGCCTTATGATTAAGGGTTTTTGGGTGGTCAGGTCTTGGAAGCCATTGCTTCCGAAACCTATATGAATGGAAAAAATGATTCTCAGAACACCTTAAATGTGTGCTACATGAACGCCTGTGGTCTTCAAAATAAAATGTCCAAGCTAAGTTTGATAGTAGATTAATCAGGTCGCGATATAATTGTCGTCACAGAAACTTGGCTCACTGTAGATGTAAACTGCTCCTTCAACATTGCAGGCTACATCTGTATTAGAGGATATAAGTTGCAGAGTTATAAGTCGCAAAGGGGGAGTCGTAATGTTATCTGTTACGGATCACTTTCTTGTACAATCTATCATATCTGAGACGCATGCTAGTGGTACATGTGAGGTAGCATGTTGTACAATTAAGTCTAGACACGGGTTAATGACTATAGTAGGAATATGCCGTAGTTCGTGTTGTCCTGCTGACTACTTTGTCTAAAAACACATCTGTTCTTGGAGTAAGGCCAAAGGTCATCCCACCATTAGAGATTTGGACACACCTCATATAGACTGGATAGAGCTTAGACCTTCAGGTGGATTTATTGATAAAGACCTTCTATACTTTTACAATGTATCGCAAAACAGAAATATATTGACTTGGAATATGTTCTGTCTATTCTGGACCTTGTCTTCACTCACCACTGTGAAGATGTAATCGACATTCAGCTCCTTCCTCCACTAGCGAATAGTGATCACATACTTTATTTTAGGTTTCGGACACTTGGTATACAATAAGTATCTGCTCTATTTCGCCCCAATATCTGGCTGGCCAATATTCAGGCAATCAGAGACTGTTATCTAGACACACTGATCAGTCGACGAGAATAGGCCGATCGAAGACGAATGGAATACATTTAAGGCTACATTCGAGTGTGTAACATCACCGTTTGTCCCGTGGTCAACATACAAGCTATCACATTGCCCTTCAAGGGTTAAAAAGGAAACCCGAGAGCTATTGAAGCGTAGGAAACACTTCTGGGACTTATTCTTGTCAACACTACATAAATCATTTAAGTGTGGATACCGAAAAATCAGAAATATATGCAAAAAACTCATAGCTAGATGTCTTACTATTTACGGAAGACAGTTGGCATACGGTAGTCCTACTTGTCCGAAACAGTTGTTTTCGTACATTAAACGGAGGATGAAACGTAGTGATAATATTTCTCCCGTTACCGTAGTACGAAAATGCAGATTTACTAGTTGAATCAGATCTGGCAAAAGCTGAAACTTTATATAGCTATTTAATGGAAGTCTACTCTACACGTATTGTTAAAAATACTTGTGCTAATCACACCACTGAGATACCAGCCATAGGACCAGTACATGTGATCGAGGAAACTGTTCTTCCATTGGTCACTGACCTCAAACCTCGTAAGATACCGGGCCCTGATGGGTTCCATCCACGATTGCCATCATTTCTCACGAAAATTATTTATAGACCACACGCGATGCTCTTCAACATGTCTCTTTTCCTCACTCAACTCTCTAGAGATTGAAAAGACTCTATAGACAGTCCTGTACTTAAAGATGGTAAGAGAAAGATCGTATCTAACTACCTGTCAGTCTAACCCGCATAGTAGTTAAGTTACTTGAAAAGATAAGTCGGGTTAAGTTACTAGGTCACTTAGAATTGTACAATCTGTTAACTCCTGAGCAACGCGGGTTTCGAAACGAGCATTCATGCGTGAACAACTTACTCATTGTGTGAGAGGATTGGACAGCGACCCAGACAATATTCAGTCTGTCGATATGATATTCATGGACTTTACCAAAGC